TGAGGAAGACATTCTGTGGGACTAAAAGGCGAGGCATGACCACCTCGAATGCATTTCTTCTGCTCGTTACATGGACAGCCCATCACAACGGAACAACAAAGGCCAAATTTGTGTGCGATCTTATGCTAACATCATTCCAATTGATAAGCACAGCGTATACATTACTTTATATGCAGATATGCTTTCCACTATAGCAGCAGCGATGCAACGCCAGTACATGTGTTGCAATGCAAGTCCCAAACTCCGCGTGTAATGCGTGAATGATAACGGATCCAGAAAGGTACAAAGTGGGTATATAGAAATACAAAGTGTAAGAAAGAGAAGTGAAGTTTATAAACGTAACATGTCGATGCGGTCAAGCGACTCGGCGTTATTGTGGCGTTGTCATGGTGCGGGAGAGTTGAGAACGTTGGGGCATAGCGTCTTTGCGTAGCTGCCGAACAACGGCTTCGAGCTTTCGTCGTTCTTCTTGTTCCGCCTGTATGTTGTTAGTGTTCTGCAAAAGAAGCGTTTGTGGAAGTGACTTACCCTTAGCGCCTTCAAACCCTCAGCCGTCCGATCCCTCATCATCTTCCTAAAGTCTTCTCTCAACATGCGAATACTAGTCGCGCCCATGTCAAGCTGTGCCGCAGCGCCGTTCGGCATACCAGGCCCAGGACTCCTAACCCCGAGCCACTTGACTTTCTCGTCACTGAGCTCGCGCTCCAGAGCTTCCTTCTCATCGCGCAGCTTGTCGATCTGCGCTTCAAGGACTTCGCGGTCCTTTTCGTTTTGGATGGCGTCACGCGTGAGGGCTTCGTACTCGGCAGCCATGCCGGACAGCTCGGCTTTGAGGTTGCGCTCGGATTGCCGGGCTTCGGCTTCGGATTGTGAGGCAACGTCTTGTACTTTACGGAGCGCTTCTAGTTCGCCAAGGAGTGCTTGGTTTTGCTCGGTGAGCTCGTCGAGCTCTCGCTTGATAGCAGGGTTGGCGGCGGAGTCAGCGGCACGTTGCGCGCGCGTACCGTAAGCGCCATCAAGCTCTGCTTTGGCGAATGTGAGTTCGGTTGTGAGACGAACGATCTCGCCTTCAAGGTTGCGGAACTCTTCCTCCTTAGCATTGAGGGAGTTGGTTGCGTCCAGAGAGCGAGCCTCGGCAGCTTGCTTCTCGGCAGTTACGGCTTCGAGAGCAGCTGTAGTCTCTGTGATCTTCTCCATGGAATTGGCAAGTTGAGCCTGGATCGTTGCCGCCTCGGTACGAGCTTCGTCCTGAGCATCCCTCAATTTGGTCTCTAACATGAGAGCCCGTTCCTGCGCGTCCCGAACCTGAGCCTCGTAGCCAGCAGTGCGTTGCTCGGCCTCTTGTGACGAGACATTGTACGCGGTGTTGCGCTCCTGGTGATCCTTCAGCTCCTCCTCGAACGTGGCAGCACGCTTTTCAGCCTCTTGCATCTTGCTCTGGAAGTTTACAGCTTGCTCTTGCACGTCCTTGAGCTGGTTCTCGTACGCGACAGCACGTTGCTTGGCCTGGTTCAGTTCAGTCTCAAATGCCATCACTCGCTCTTGTACGTTGATCAGCTGAGCCTCCAGACCAGCGTTCCGCTCCTGCGTCTCGCGCAAGATCTGTGTGTCAGTCGAGACCTTTTGCTCATCGAACTGCTGTAGCTGTTCCATTGCACGCTCGAGCTCACCCTCCATGGACTTCTTCTCAGATCTCGCGCTGAGCAGATTGGTATTGAGTCGTTCAAATTCTGCCTCTTTCTGTGCGTCCGACTTGCTGTTCAGTTCACGTTGCTGCTTGATCTGGCGCATCAGGACTGATTGCTTGTCTTTGAGACTAGTCGCTCGCCTGAACAGTAATTGCACCTTTGAAGAGAAGGCAGGAAGAGAGTAGCTCTCGTTGACGTAGTCTTCGTCTGGCGAAACTTGTTCATTGGCATCGGGATCTTCGGCAAGCAACTGGCGTCGTTCACGTTTGCGTTCGCGTGCTTCTTCCTCGCCAGTGAGAATAGTCTCCCAGAGGCTCATAATCGTAGTCTCGTACTTTTCTGCCTTCTCAGCGCTCTCCGACTCGTCAACCGCAGGACCTTTAGAACGAAGCTCGTTGATTTGCTCGTTCATCGCATACTGGATCTGCTCGAGGTTGTAGAAGGAATCTTCCATGTAATTGAGCTGTTCGGTAGCGCCACCACCAGTGATGGCGGGTGGCGGTGGGATCTTATCGGACTGTTCGTTTTCGGATCGAGATATTACCGCATACAGTTGGTTGTTCATGCCCTCTAGACGGCCCTCGACTTCGCTTAGAGTATGCCTTGAGTTGTTGCGGATGTTGGACTGTTCAGCGGCGATGCTGCGGAGGCCCTGATCGAGGAAATCGAGCTGGCGATCTAGGGTTGACGCGTCTGGCGTTCCTTCAAGAGCCAGCGGTGGCAGTGAATAGTCTTCGTCACGCTCGGGGTTCGCCTCGATGATGAGTGATCGCAGACGCTCGTTGATCTCCTGGAGTCGCGTTGCAGTCGCATTCAAGGCTTGATCGTGACGCTCTGAGGATGCTGTGAGGTGCTTGCCGGTTTGCAGCACGTTCATGAGGTTGTCGAGGTTCTCGGGCGTCCTGTAGAAGCTGCGCTCATCGAAAGCGCCATTGAGTCTGCCGTCTTCGTAGGTATTGAGGCTTGCGGGGCTGTCTGGTCTTCGGAAGCGGTCTTCTGACAGTTCGGAGTCGTCTTGACGCTGCTTTGGTCCCTTGTGCGTAAGCTGCAGTACAGCCGCAGTGTGCATCAGGAGTTGCATGTCGATCATGCGCATGCGAGACTCTATCTCGAGGCATTCCCGAATGAACTCCTCGACCTTCTTGTTGCTTGACTCCAGCCCCTCTTCTGTCTTGGGGTCGTAGTCCTGCACGGCGTTGCTGCCTTTGCTGCTCTTGCTGCTCTGCCCGCGCTTGTGTCCGTTTGCCTTCTTCGAGGCCAGCCGTCCGAGGGAGCGCGTCGCATCGCGGATCTTCGTCTCCGACTCCAGCTTCCGCCTGACCGTGCCCAGACGAGTGTCCAGGCTCTTCTGCTCCTGCTTGAGCGCTTCCACCTCCTCGACCGAGAGTATGTCGAAATACTGGCTGTCTCCGATTGCTGTCTCAACAAGCAAGTGCATAGCCACGGGATCGGTGTTCAGCGCGTCCGAGTTTCGCTTGCCAGAGTTTCGCGGTGTGTAGACGCCATTCTCGCGGATGGTCTCCCGGCGGCCGTCTACGAAGACCTCTGGGGGCGGAATGAAGGCGCTGGCACCGAAGCGCGGGGAGATCTGGTAGGCCATGGGGAAGAAGCTGGGCGAGGCGGTGCCATTGATGCCGGACGGGTAGTTGGACGTGGGCGAGGGAAAGTCATAGAGGGCGCGGGGACTGAGCGTGTCCCCGGCGTAGGGGTACTGGGTGCGCAGGCCATTGGCGGTCATGGTTCTGAATCTGAGCGAGCGACGCGGCGACTCGGGGCGTTGGGGGGTTATAAAAGACCGGATGGAGAAGGCGACGGGAGCGCCCAACAGTAATACTCGCGCAGCCAGCGGGGGTGGTGGGCGCGCTCACGGCGAGCAGCTCAACATGGTTGCAATTGGAGAGTTGGCTCAGGAGACGCTACTCTAGCAGTCTGCTCCTAGCACTCGACTGCGCCCGTCAAGGGGTGAATGAGCCACTAGCCGGCGGGAGTTCACGCGTTCATGCGCGCTTGGCAGGCACCGCCCATCCAGACATTCCCCACCATCCCGCCTTCTCGTCCCGTATTCGCTGCACATCCTGACGACACCACATCTGGCGTCTCGTAGCGTGCCCCGCGTGAAATCTTTCTCTGCAGTGACTCTAGTGCTGCTGCATCTCGCGGTAAAAGTGCATCTCCCATCTGAATTTGTCTCAGTTCGTCGATCGCCAAATTCGGATCTGCACTCCGCTATCGATAACGTCCGTGTCAGTCAACAACATGAGTGCACGCGCAACCTACACCAAGGACCAAATAACAAAATACCTCGACCGCCTGGGGTTGCCTGACCAAAAGAGAAACTACGATGTAGCTGGTCTGGATCCCGAGAGCGCACTAGAGTACCTCGCACTACTCCAGAAGCTGCAGCTAGCAGCCGTGCCCTTTGAGAACATCAACCTGCATTACTCGGCGCATCATTCCATCTCTGTCCACCCAGAGGAATTGTTCAAGAAGATTATTGACGATGACAATGGACGCGGTGGTTATTGCATGGAGAACAACAGACTATTTGGCACGCTGCTGAATTCGCTGGGGTTTACCCTGTATTCAGGCGGCTGCAGAGTTTGGGCTGCTGACAGCTGGACGGGCTGGTCGCATATGGTGAACTTTGTTACCATCGGCAACACCAAATACCATGTCGATGTTGGCTTCGGGGCTGACGGGCCTGTTGTCCCAATGCCTCTCGACCGCTCGGGCACAGTCCAAAAGCACATCCAGCCTGCATCGGCCCGTCTCCAATGGCGCAACATTGCAGACAACACTGACCCCGACCAGCGCCTCTGGGTTTACGAATACCGGAGGAACAACGAGAGCGACTGGGAGACCAAATACTCATACAGTGAGCTGGAATTCCAGCCGCAAGACTACGCAGTCATGAGCTACTACACTTCCACCAGCAAGCATACCTTCTTCACGCAGATGATAGTGGCAGACAAGAAGATACTGGGTGATGATGGGGAGCTGGAAGGGAAGATGAGTCTGGCAGCTGCTTCGTTGAAGTGGAATATCAAAGGTCAGAAAACCAAAGAAATCGAGTTCAAGAGTGAGGGAGAGAGGTTGGAGGCGCTTGAGAAGTACTTTGGAATGAAGTTCAGAGACGTGGAGCGAGAAGGCATCGCCGGGCTGCCATCAGAGATCAAGTAGACACCAGTACTGAACATTGAGAATTGTTGATTGCTCGTACGCCTACTACTGCTGTATATGCCGTAGACCCTCTCAGTGCGATGTAGTTACTATTGGGTATGTTGTATGCTGTGTCGGAGTATCTCGCATCGTCTAGAGGAATCGCTTCTCGCACTGCCCGTGGTTAGCACCTTCCAACAGCCCAGTACCTCCATACGCACCCTCCATGGGTTGTTGAGCTCGAAGCCTTCCGGGGCAATCGGCTTGTCTGTCTGTCCGCGCATGAATCCTGTGAGCCGGCGGTCGCGCTCCATCACTGGGTCTCGTAAGTATGTCGCATGAGGTCATCGTGAAGCCGTCGTACTTTGCTGTACGCATGTTAGCACTCTTCTGGTACGCATACGCCTCTCGCAACCTACCCTGTCCCATTGATCGATACCCCTCCTGGTCTTCTTTCCTCCGTTCTGGATCTCCTTGAGCTTTCCGACAGATACGGCGCTGAATGCGAAGAACTGGCCCTGTGTTAGCACCCTTTCACTCCCAGGCGCGCCAATTACTCACACCCGTCATAATGGCATAGGGCAGCAGAGCCTCGAATGGGACACCCATGATTGCGGTAGTGTGTTCAGGCGCGGTGGTGTTGCGGGGTGGGCTATCAGTACGGACTGGCTGGAGGTGCCGTCGGCGTGAAGTGAGGTGCGGCGGCCGTGCGCCAACTGCTCCTTGGCGGCGACCCCGACTACACCAAGGGTGTCATTTCGGACGACGACAGCGCATCGCCCATACCATTTCCTGCCGAGCGACAATTATTCTCGGTGTCGCACAGACTCACCCTTTCATACGAGGCGCGAAACCCGCAACCTTCAGCCGCCAGACCCCCGAAATAATTGCCTCCGCTGCGATCGCACCTCCGCCTTCCCCACAGTCACGCCCAACGCGACTACGAGACCGCCGCATCTGCCTCTGGCGAATCACGACCTCCAAAACCCATTACACGATACACCTCAGTCGAAAACACGCGGTTATAAGTTTCACGGGTCACAACAACGCGCTAGGACACAGACACGACGCGCTCACCAACCACTGCATGAGAGAGCCTCCGCGGCTGCTACCGCTCGCGCAACCAATGCTCTAAGGCCTATACCAATTGGACTGCGACAGTGGCTTATTTGGCCTCCAAGGTGGCCTCTGCCGTCAACTTCGCAATGACGGAAATCATGGGCCAAGCGGCGGCCAACACCGACCCGGACGACATCGATGCGGATGGCGAATACGAGATGGACGATGTAGAGTACGCGCCCGGCCCGCCTATCGAGGACATGCCTGATGCTGAAGGCCAAACCACAGACGCTGAGGGCTCAGACGTGGATGCGGAAGGCGAAGATGTGGACGCTGAGGGTGAAGATGTGGACGCCGAAGGTGAGGAGGTGGACGACGATGAGGACGAGGCTGAGCCCGTTGGTGCTGTCAAGATCGCACTGCGTCGACCCAGGTCCGACGATGAGGAAGAGGACTATGACGGCGACGATGTCGCACGGGAATCTTCCGATGCCAAGTCCAGCGACAGTGACGAGTCAAGCAACCTTGATTCCGAAGAGGAGAACCAATGGCAGGCGAGCGAGGGTGGTGAAGAGGATGAAATTATCAGGTCGAACAACCCCAACGTGTGCATGTAAGTATCGCCGGAGAAGATTGAGCCTGTAAAACCATTTACTAACTGAGCAGATATTGCAATTTAGACGAGGACAACGACCCCAGCCCGGAATTCGAGGAGTACCTCTCTTGCGCCCAGTGCGGAGACAATGGTGAGTTCGCAGTGGGGAAGTTCGACTTACGATGTGGTAGCTCACACGTTGTTGGTCCAGCACACCGGCAATGCGCGCGTAACGCTAATACGCTTAGTCCCGATGACGGTATGTTCCCTTGTCAGGCCCGAACCGCACCTTGCTAACGACGAATAGATGCAAAACTTTGGCGCTGCGAAGGATGTATCAACAATTTCCCCACGGAAGCAGAAGAAGAGGCAGACGAGCCTACTACTCATCGGAGACGTTCGTCTCAGAACAAATTGACCAAAGAGCTGCTCCCTTCACATCGTGGGGTTGACCCCGAAGGACATTCAATCTTCAAAGAGCTAATTCTTCCCGATGAACCAGCAGATGGACTACGTTCGCTGCGCAAACGCAAGACTTCGCAGGAAGAGGAAGTGCCGATTCCGTCGAGGCAAACACGGAAGAAGCGGAGACCTTCCGAAGCATCCAACTCAGATGCGGCGCCATCAGTGCCTGCAGTCTCACCTCGGCCACCTTCAAGAAGCGTACGAAGTGCTCGTAGCGTCATGACGGATGGTCACGAGAGTGGAGGCGAGGCAGAGCACACTGGTTCAGATCGCGAGGGTACTCGCTTACGGCCAGCGCGAGCACGTCGTGGTCAGCCCAAGAGGACCGACAAACGGCCACTCGCATGGATCGAAGAGGCCCAGCCTGGGAGCCTGATTATCGCTTTCCATCTCAACAACGAGAAAGTCCAGAAGATTGTCACCGCCAAGCCCAAAGTAAAGACACTCACGCGCGAGCAAGAGCGACAGGAGAGGCGGCGCGAGCGGGATAGAGAACGTCGCGAAAGAAATCGTCGGGCTGCACAGGCTGCACGAGAATCCTCAGAGGTCTTGCATTACCCAACAATACACATTCAGAATGCCGCTCCGTTCCCAGGCTTTACCGACAGGGAGCCAGACGAGGTCAAGAGCAAGCCCTACGGTGGTGTACTTTCAGAAGCGGATGCCGACACATCCAAGACCTATCCTTCGCCCGCTGACCGGAAGCGGTTCGACGACGCTCGTATCAAGGCTGAAGAAGAATGGAAAGTGAAGCAGGCCGCACTTTACCCGCCCGAACCACTCCGGTCGCATAAGCAAGCAACCACAGCGAGCAAGATCAAATGCGTCAATTTCGGTGGCTGGGAGATCGACACCTGGCACGCTGCCCCATATCCTGAAGAGTACAGCAAGAATCGGGTGCTTTACATATGCGAGTTCTGTCTCAAGTACATGAACTCGGACTATGTGGCATGGCGGCATAAGGTAAGCATTTCGACTTCTTTCCATAACCATGTACTAATAATCACAGCTTAAATGTCCAGCGAAGCACCCTCCTGGCGACGAGATTTACCGCGACGGCAAGTACTCTTTCTTCGAGGTCGATGGCCGAAAGAATCCAGTGTACTGCCAGAATCTCTGTTTGCTCGCCAAGTTGTTCCTCGGTTCCAAGACGCTATACTACGATGTCGAGCCCTTCTTGTTCTACGTCATGACAGAAAACGACAACTTCGGGTGTCATTTCGTCGGCTACTTTTCGAAAGAGAAGCGTCCCAGCTCGCTCAACAATGTTAGCTGCATTCTCGTACTTCCCATTCACATGCGCAAAGGCTATGGACAGTACCTGATCGAGTTCTCCTACCTCTTGACCCGGGTGGAGAGAAAGACTGGAAGCCCCGAGAAACCACTCAGTGACATGGGTTTGGTGAGTTATCGGAAATACTGGCGGCTTGTCCTGTGTGAGGAATTACTCCAACAGAAAGCCGCGATCAGCATATCGGCGATATCAGATCGCACTGGCATGACACCTGATGACATTGTATCAGCGTTGGAGGGCCTACGAGCTCTCGTGCGCGACCCTGTCACGAAGAAGTACGCGCTTCGCCTTGATTTGAACTACTTCAAGTCATACATTGAGAAATGCAACGCTGCAGGCAACCCAAAAATCAATCCAGAGTGTCTGATATGGACACCATACGTCATGGGCCGTCTGGGCCAGTACGAAGATGGACCCGCCCTGCAGACAGTGCAACAGCGCGACGAAATCGAAGAGGAAGACAAGCCCGCACCCGAGGAAGGGGTCCAGATGGCCGCAGCAAAAGCCAACGGTACAGGCGACGAAGCAGACGGCCCCCACCCCGCCGAAGACTCCATCAACGGCGGCTCACCAGCCCCCGGCACACCCCTCGCAAACGGCTCCACCGTCGCACTCGCGGGCTCCCACATGGACGAACCCGCCATCCCCCCCTCCCGCTACGAAATCTTCCCTCCCATTCCCGGCCAACCCGCACAGCGCCGCCGCCCCGGCCGCCCCTTCGGCTCCCGCCGACGTACCAGCACCCCCAATCGCGTCCGCAACACCTCCCTCTCCATCCACACCGCCCCCGTATCCAAAATCCAACTCTCGCCCAGCCGCGGTGCAAAAGCTCTCATGTCCCCCTCCGCCAACGGTGCCCTCACACCGGGTACTTCGCTCCGGCGTACACGCAGCCGCCTCGGCGAGAGCGTCACCAATGGCGACGACGTCTCAGATGGCGGCGCCGTCAAGGCTGTCGTTGTCAACGGGAGGAGGAGTACACGGAGCTCCGCTAGCTCGAGGGGCAGCATTGACTTCAAGGGTAAAGGCAAAGCGCTGCCTATTGAAGAGGAACAGGAACAGGAACAAGAACAGGAGCATGATGAGGATATCGACGCCGATGGCGATTATGACGAGGAAGAGGGGGATATGGATGTTGATGCCGAGGGCGAGGAGGATGATGATATCATCATGCAGGATGCATGAGTGTTTGCTGAGCACATTTCTTCACTTCTCCCGCTCTCGTCTTGTAATATTTAGTGTTGGTGGTGGTGTTGATCTGACACCGACCCTCCCTTTCTCGTTTCTCCTTTTTTTTAACTTCGATAAGCGCGGAGATATAGGGGTTCGCTTCTTTGTAGTATTACGGTTGCGACGTGTTTATATGCATTACGGAGACACCTTGGGACGGGACAGCGAATGGAAGGGCGAAGGGGCGTTTTGATCCATATCAACACATATCTCCTGAACAGAGCCTGTTGTGTGTTTTTTTTCTTCTAATAAGAGAGTGTCAGGATCCTATTCTCAAGAAAAACCACATGTTGAGTTTCAATTCGGGGGATGTATGCTCTTCTACGGAATGTTCTCGGTGATGCCTGTCGATTCGAAGTTTCTGAGGCTGTGTCACTCTTTCGCTGTTGTTGTTGGTAACATTCGCGTCAAATAACGAGTATTAGTGACGCTGTCAAATTTCCCTTTCTCCTACACTTCAACTACAATCCTTGATTCAGCTCTACTCTATATTGTTCTCTTGTCTCAACTCACTCGATCCAGCTGATAGATAGCCCCATGGCGCTCGAGCTGGGTAGCAATACGGATCCGAAGAGTGCTGTTACGTCTCCATATTCCGCGCACATACTTGGGCAAATACTTCTCCAGGTAGTGGAAGCGATGTAACCATGGAGAGCCTGTAGAAAACGACGCGGTGGATATGCAAGTAGATGTAGTTGCATTGGTGGATTGGAGATGCGCAGGCAGCTACGTGACCACGTAGCGTAGTGTGCAAAGGCGGTTGCGATGCTTCATCTGAGAACTCTTACACTCTAGGTAGGTAGTATCGACAATGTAAATACGCGTCTTTCACTCACCCGTTGCCCTGTTGAAATCTTCGAGAGTCAACTACCATTATTTGTACCCGTGGAGTCTATTGACAAGGCAAGCATAAACTGAGTGTGTGCAATTTGTTTCTGCGACGGTACATTCTTACATTCTGCCTCA